AGCTATGCCAACTGTGGCCTGTGCGGCGGGAAAGAAGTTCAGTAATTTACAGTAAATCCGCCAATAAAGACGTCCAGTTGGGGGGCTTGGGTAACACCCACATAATTGGGTTCAGTCCAAAGTTCATAGCCACAAATTAAAGGCAACTCCAAAAAGTCCACACACAGGCTGCTGCCTCATTCCGACACTTAGCAACCTATCTCACATGCAGGAGTGAAGCATTCAGCGGTGAAAGCAATCCACTACTATCTAGTCCCGACGGCCCCCTTTAACATCCTCCGCTTAGCCCATGCTATGCAGGCTCTTACGTGACAGCCATTCATAGTTTCGCGATCTTCCTGCTGCTCTTATCCATGTCGCTCCTGCTGGTTTTAGAGGAGGGCTGCCAAAATAACCAGCATATCTCGAAGCCCCCGCCACCACCACCACCTCTCTTGATTGCCTGCTTGACTAAACATCTAACTGGCTCCTACACACGGCGGCGTGCGTTGTCGCTTGCCGGTATGGGGGGGTGAACTCGACCAACCACCAATCAAAATGTGTGTGTGACATGAATCTCCCACCCCAGAGACACAAGCACGCGTTAGATTGGCTAGACGCTTGAATTTGGCAATATGATCGATTGGCTGACCGCGTCCGTCCAGGCCGGGCAAAAGTAGACTCTAACGCCGCCGTGTGTAGCTCACAAGCGGCCCGTCCACACAGCGGCGTGCGTTGAAGCTGTCAACGCTTCTGCCCATATTGCACTTTGAAATGGGGTGACGTCACGCTTCGCCGAACTGGGCATTGGGGGAAGGCGTAGCTAGCGCGTTGGCTCAACGCAGTCAAGTGACCAGTTCAACTTTTGAAGCACTTCGACGAAGCGTCAGCCCAATCAAAATCCTGTTTATGAAAATCTGCCCAGTAACACACTGCTAGCCAATCAAACCGCGTGTATGCTGCGATTAAGTGAATCACCCGGTGCGGTATGATCAGTCTCTGTTCATCCTACCCGGGATACAAACCGAGGAGGCCCGAGGCCATGGAGGAGTGGCAAAGATAGTTGGTGAAAACGGGTAGGTTTCGCCTGTTTTGGGGAGTTATAATCCAGTGGTAACCTCATTTAAACATTGAATGGACAGCTAGCAGGAATAGATAGTATCATATTAACTAGCATGGAATGTCTAAGCATTTTGCTTTGTATGTCGGGGGCGGGAGATTCATTGTGATGGTTGTTAGTCGCTGTTGCTCGCGTTTGGCTCCAAGCTCCAGACACGGCCACCGCCAAGCGTCAACGCAAGCTGCTGTGTGGACGTGCTCCGTAAACGGTACGTCCACACGGCAAGCGTGCCGTGAAGCTTGCCGGTGGGCGTGTTCTGGAACGCGACCAACCAACCAATCACATAACTCCCACCCGGACACACAAAGCACGCGGTTTGATTGGCTAGAGCTTGTAACTGGCATATGATTGATGGCGACGTTTCCGTTGAAGGCGAAAAGTTGAAATTTTTTCAAACTTCAAAGCGGAGCAGCGGAGGCAAAGCGACGGAACCAGCAATGCAAGTCGGCAAAAGCGTGACGTCACCCCATTCAAAGTGAATGGGAAAGTTTGCGGCCCGTCCACACGGAGACAAAACGAACCGAAGTCGATATCAAAAAAGTATTCCGTCCACAACGGAATCGGCTCAAGAAACGTGTCAGCCACACGAGACCGCTCGACCCGCCTGGAGACACTGTAGTACATTATGCGGGGCCCTGTAAGTGGCCGCTGTAAAAACTTCCGCCACAATATAAATACAAAAGTAGCGAATAAGACCGCCGCGAGGCATGGTGCCCTGGTTTTGCCTTCTGGTTATTCCGCGGTGGATTTAAGCAGCATGAAGTTCTTCCATAATCCACTTGTTGCGATGGTTGTGGTAAGAGGAGCTCGTAGATTGCACTAACATCTGTATCGGTGGGTCAGTAGCGTCTGGAGCACTTTACGCAAGACCCTGTGATTTCGCCATTGTTGTTGGCGAAACGGCATCCACAAATTACCCGGGTTGACGGCCGGGCGTGATCAGGAGAGGTGAGGAGAGCCCGGGGCTATGATCCGTATAGGGCAGGGGTATTCAACTAAATTCAACAAGGTCCAGTTAGAGAAAATCTCCCCTGCAAAGGTCCGGAGCATCAATTAAAAACAACAAATATTTATTGTCAATTAACATTGAACTATACAGAATAACTACATTAACATACTGTAGGATAATGTGTAATATAATGTTCACTCTTCGGGCTGCATTGAAAAATAAAATAGAGAAAATAAATAAAATAGCCTTTGAAAATATGTGCATCTTAAAAGTGCTTAATTTTAGATAAATAAAATAAAGTGTAGCAGCAGCTTGAGTTTCCCTTTTTCTTTGTTAACCGTTTCACTTCATGACTTAACTGTTTCAGACGATTATAGAACAATATCAGTCTTTACACATCATAACAATTGAACAGTTTTAAAGTTTCTCTTTCTTTCCATCTTATATTGCAGTCCCTCACTCACTTTGTTTTAATTCAGTGCGAGAATTGAGCTCGAGCTTGTCCTGCCAGGAGTTTGTAAATCTGGGCTGAAATGGTGTCAGGGCCGTTCTCATACACATGCAGGTGCTTATTGGTTAGCCTCGGTTAGCCTGCCCTGGAACGACATTTAGTTTTAATTTTGATCCTGGTGGACTGATCAGATTGGGCTCTGAGACTGCTTATTTTTTGTGACCTCAGTTCTGACTTGAGAGGGAATGTTTGGTCAAACACTTTGTGTTTTGTCTCATAGTGGCGTTTTGGCCCTTTTAATGAGCGACACGGTCTCTGAACAAATGAGACACACTGGTTCTGTGCTCCCAGTGGGCAGGATGAACATGAATGAGTCCGTCCACTCAGGGCTAAAAGCTCTGTTCTCACTGTCCACTTTCCTCTTCTTGGAGAGCGCCATGTGTAATTATTTGTCTCTCCCTGTCTGCCGCTAACACGCCTGTTCACTCTCCTCTCCGCTTCTCTCCCTGTATTGCTAATTATTCTCTTCACTCACTTTCCTCTCCGATTCTCTCTGCCGCTCTCTCATCTCTTCTTTTGTGTTTCTCTCCCTGTATCGCTCACTCGTCTCTTTCGCCCCTGTCGGCGGCGGTTAACATAAAATCGCCCCGTCAAAATTGAAATCCCCTATTAATGTATTGATTATAGGTCCGGGTCCGTATAGGTCGGCGTCTGTGTCCGGATCCGGACCGCGGTCAGCCTGTTGCCGACCCCTGGAATAAACTGTTCAAAAAGTTTTGATATGGCTTGTGTGCTTTCATCAGCCCTGTGAGAGTGTAACCAATACCTTCCACTTTTTGAAAGTACTGACCAAATCTAAATATTGAAGTCAAGGAATGTGCCACACAAGCTGAATAAAACTCTTATTCTTTTTTTTTATTATAACAAATTGTTTAATTTGTTACCAGCCAAAAAATGTATAAACAAGCATATCTACTTTGGTATTTAACTCACTTAGGGTATTGGCAACAATGTCAAAACATTTCTCATGATACCCAATTGTACTCATAATGCTACATATTAAGAAAAACACCAAATATTCCCTCATTTCATGTTCCCCAATCCTGTCCTGAACTTCTCCTTTAATGTGTTGTTGGTCTTGGCAAAGGTTAGTGTCTACGTGTGTACTGCTCCTGCTGAGCTGTCCAGCTGAAACAAAGTCAAGAGGTGGGGGGGCAAGAAAGCAGCGGCCTGGAGGCTGAGCACAGAACTATGCTCTCTAAACACTTTAAAGACCATATATTCACTCTCTGCGTGAATATCAGGTTCACTTTGCCTCCCTCCTTTGTGCAGCCATCCCAGGATCTTCTAGTGTATTGCTGCAGGCAGTTTCTTGGTAGGAGAGATCACATACAGGCCAGAGTCATTAATCCCCATCACTGAGGTCTGTGCGTATCAGCGGCTCAGGGAATTACTGTTTCTTGTCATGTGTGAGTTGTGACGATGGAGTTTTATTAATCAAATGTGAGTTGAGGGATTTCGTACTCACAGTTCTGATAACAGGTGCAGTCGGTGGAAGGCTCTGGGCTGGATCTCGCTGATGTTGTTCATACTCAGATCCCTGGGGAGAGTAAAAGGGGAACGTCAGTATAAAAGTATCCATCAGTGTATACATTATCAATGTTCCTTGAAGATGCATGGGGCATGTAAAATTACAAATATTTAGAATGCGTTTTTCACATGGCAATCAATCGCCAAGAATGGGGAGTAGTACGCAGAGAGAGGTTAGAGGGTTAGGTAGAGAAGATGAGAGGGAGGAGAGGGAGATGGAGAAGAGAAATGTTCCCCAATGAATCATTGTTGGGCAGCTGTAATTTCCTCCTCGTCCCAGTGATTCTTTCTCTTTTCCAGATGTCTCACTCTACCTTCTCTCAGATCTGACCCCTCCATATCTATCTCCCTCTCCTTTCTTCCTCCTCAGGTTTCTCAAGAGACCACCCTCTTCCCCTTTTGTTCATAGCTGTAACGTAGACTCCATTTCTCTGCCTCTGACACACACTCTGACGTGAAAGGGTGTGCTGTGGGGCAAGTGTTGACGCAGCTGCGTTGCGGTCAAAGAGGTAGAGGTGCAGGATGCTCAAATACATGCATTCACACACTCAGTGAGTGAATTATTCAATTCACACATGAAAACTTGGGATAGTATGAGGACAACTTATGTGTCAGCCTCTGGTAGAAAACATACATAACCTTGTAGCCCAGTCATGTAAGGTCATCTCTTTGATAAACACAATGAAAGCAAGAGGTGCTACGTCACCCCTTCTTAGCTTTCACAGCCCTTGGGGTCTCGCATGAGTTTTCAAGAGTGAGGATTGTATGTGCATGTGTGTTTGCGTGTGTGTGTATGACACTAACCATTGCTCATAAAGCCAGACCACCGGGCTAGCAAGTGTAAACTGTGCTCTCAGAAGCCTTTTGCAGTTGGGAGTTTTGACACACTCAATGTTTGTTTGTTGAGTCAGCCAAGCTGACAGGGGGCTGGTTGAATCTATCCAAAGGCATGATCTTTATTCAGCTTCAGGGGCGATGTGGAAAGAATACTGCATGGTTCACCAATTGTGGTGTATGAGTAGTCTGTCATTTTTAGGAGTTGTGGCCAGACAAATTCAGTATACCAACAGCGTGATACCCTGTCAAGCATAATATTTAACATCAGGATGTGGACCCCCGCTGTCACTTTGGGTCAGGAGGTATGTTCTTATGAAGGGGATGAGCTTGCAAGGTTAACTGTGTCCTTTCAATAGGATATTTTGTAAGTAAAATAATTACTGTATATAGCCTTTTTACAGGCTCTGCTGACATTGAATATTTTCCTTATGAAACCAGAATTTTGGCATGTTCATTTCACTTCACGGGAATTTCCTATTGCACATGCCCCCTCCTGGGAGGTCTGACTGCAGAGAAAGGGGTTCAAGGTGTTACTCTGGATGCTTTCGATCAGCGTTGAAGGGAAAATGGCTAATTCTCTTATGACCTTGCTCAGTAACAGAACCAAATAGGGCACTCTCATTCTACATGACCCGTTATTGACATAGATGCTAGTTTTTACCAGCATACCTCTGTATTGTCTGCATTTTATGTTCTGATAGGCCACTACAAGCAAAGGAGTGGCATTATACACATGTTTGCTGCGGAGAATTCTAAAGCATGTTGATAGCTGGTGTTGGTAATGCACCATAAAAGATCGCAATTTGCCAATAAAAGGAAAGGAGACCGCAAACAAAAGATGCAGTTGGCCAAGCACTGAAAAAATGCTTTTCAAGGAAACACACAATGCTGTGTAGTGTGAAAAATTCAATGAAGCCATGTGTCTTTTTAACAGAAATATACTTCACATGGCAATTTAAATATTGTTATCTCATTAATGTCCATAGATTGCTCTTATCTAAACAATTTGTTTGAAAATATTGCAGTTAAATATGAAAGACGCATTAAAATTCATCTACTCATAACGTGATTCATTACTTTTTTACATTTTCAACGTATGTATTTCATCAAAGAAACCATAAATGAAAAAATATGTATATGTAATTTTATATATATATATTTACATCCTTTTTCCTAAAGGAGTTGCTGACCTCAGGTTTCCATCTCTACACTAGTACTGTGGAGATTTCATGTAAATTATATATTTTTCTTTGTCCAATTTGGCACAATCTTCTTTGACTCAAGGCAGTAATTTGGGAATGAATGCAACAAGTGTAATGCACCACGGCTTGATTAAAGTCAGAGGTAAATATAAGTGATAACAAAGTTGTCATAGAGATGACACAGCCAGCAGTAATGGCACACCAATTTACATAATCAACAATGGATGACATCACATATAACACAGGAAGCACACAATCCCCTCACGGGGCCTCGAGAACAATACACATACACACCTTAATTCTATTCATTGTCGGTGTACTAATATTCTTCTGAGACAAATATTTATTGGAACATTCTGGGGGTGATCATTAAATCATAGAAACACACGCACCCATGCAGGCACACGCATAGACAAAGACACATCAGCCGGCCTCTGGGGATGCGCCCAAGAATGGAGACACCCCTCCATTATCTGGTCCTGATTAAATAAGCCATAAACAAACGTTGTGTGAAGTCCATAACAGCAACCTCACTCAGACAGAATAAACACGCAGCAATGGAGAGAGAAAATGTTTAAAAATAAAGACGCACAGTGGTGAGTCATGGTGAAAGGTTGAATGCAGCTCATTTCTGCTGTGCTCTCCAACAAGCTCATTGGGAAGCCGGAGAGAGAAAGACATTTCTGCTGTGCAGGCCAAGGCCTCTGCTGACAACTTGACGTATCGTTGGAAGGCGCTGCGCTATGGCTTGTTTTTAAAATCAAATAACAGCTGTGGCTTTTTTAAACCATGATAATTATGATTGATGACTACCACATGTGTATTGTGTCGGCTGGCGCTGTGAGGTGCAGATATTTTCAGCGCAAATAAACGGCCGCTGAAGAAATTAGAAAGAGAGCGCTTAAAGATTTCGCAGTCTTTTGGAGTGTGGCTTTTGGGAGTTTCACAATTAGATTTGGGGTTTCAGTGTCCCCATTTTATTGGCAGAGGGGAGGGAGAATGAGTGCAAGTGTGTGTGTGTGTCAGTATCTCTGTGTGCAATATTTCTTCCATTTATAGGTGACTGCGGTGTGTGTGTGGTAACATGTCTGTCGCTCATTTTCACACCCCTATTGTTATCCAGTGAGCCGGCAGATGTGGTGGGTACAGTCCATGTTCGCTTTCACCACACACGGTGCATGGGAACAGATTGCTTTGAGGGAAATGATGGAAGTTCATGTGGTTCCCTTTCTTTCTTTTTCATAAGAGATTTCAGTAGGGAACCATTCTTCCTTATCTTGGCCATCACGGCGTCAAGAAAGCAGTCTGATATTGCTCGCAGGACAACACATCTTTCAATCAACACAGGCATACAGGCTGTCTCCTCCCTTCAGATCTCCGTCGGCTGCTGAATGACGAACTAAAGACTCCTTAGCAATATTAGGAGCAGAGGATGCAGACATGGAGACCCATGCTCATCCCTCAACAAACACACTCCCAAATGTGCCTCTTAAATGTTCTTTTTATCCCCCTCCACTCTGAACCCGAGAATGACTGACAAAGCCCCCACTGATCTCTTTCTGAATTACATTTTCATGTGCCTGCATGTAATTGTGTGTGTTCAAGCACAGTAGCATGTGTAAAATTGTGGCCAATATTGCAGCCATTGGAGGAGTAAAAGACAAAATTGGCATTTTTCCTCTCCTGTTTCCTCCATCGCTCCATGATTTGCAGATACATAATGTGCTCAAACTGATTTTATTCTGCTTTCTGCACAGTGTGCGCAAGATTGTGCGCGTGTGAATATAAGAGAGGAGGAAAGTTTGGCATGGTAAGAAAGCTAAAGTTCTTGATATTTGACTGTTTTATGTTGTGATTGATAGAGTACCCAATGCAAGGAGCTTTTCTAAAAGGCTGAATAGAAGCATGAAGACGCAGAGCTACATTTCCATTCATCAGCCTTGGCCCTTTCTCTCCTATTCTCTTATGCCACTCTACCTCTCCCCATCAATGTTTCAAATTTCAACTGTAGCATGGGGTTACACAGTCCGGTAGTTGAAATAATGTCATTTATCATATTTCCCTCTTCGCCGTCAAAAGAACTACTGAAGTATCTTATCGGCTGTGTGATCAAAGGCAGTGTGGGTGTGAATGTGCCCCTAGCTCCATTGTAGCCACATTTAAACTGGAAGCTTTTCTGACAAGAGTTGGTTGATTTCGCTCAAAACAACTGGCCACATCATATGAAAAAAACACCCTTGTTTATGTTACCAGACTAACACACATCCAAACTACACCCGCAGGCACTCGTGCACACTCCAGGCTTTTGTGGGGTTGGATGATGGACCACCCTGGTGAGTGAATATACCCTCACAGCAGGACAGATGCCATCAGCAGTCAGGTGTCCCTTTCTACCGTCACTGGGGAAATGTGTCTGTCAGACAAAGCTGTCTGGGAGCAAGCTGAGGGGAGATTGCTTGATACATTTTACTTTTGATAATACCACTGTCTCGAAGGTAAAACTAAATAAACTTGTATGGAGAGTTTCTGGCATGTTGCTCAAGCATAAAATTGCAGGTTCAGTACATAACAATGCAGCACAAGCATGTAAACAAAAAGCCTTACATTGTTGACCTTGAGAAGGATGTTTTCAATGACGCTCTCTTACACACACACACACACACACACACACACATCACTTCGCAAGAGCCAAACCCTGAGGCCTTCCCTCTCACTTCCTTACCTGCTCCCTCTCTCTCTTTCTCCTTGTCTCCCTGCCAAACCCTTTCTCACTCGCTCAGGTGGAGACTCTCAGCAAACAAACAGCCAATAATGGCGGTAAGCTCTGCACCTTTGAAGGCGGCTTATCTTTGAGGAACATTAGAGTAATAGATCTTTAGTGAAAATCAACAACCAGAGCCTTGCCCAGAGGGCAGGAGTTCTGCATTAGCGGTGCTAGAGCCACACCTTGGCTGTCTTTTACTGTAACTAT